AAAACTCCCCCCTTCAAGCAGCTCCCATATTTTCACCATAAATTCTACCCCTTTCTTCTTGGTGGGGCTGTGCTGGGCCCATGGCAGCTATGGCGGCTCGTCTCATAGGACCCAAGCTGGGAGCGATGGGTTACAAACCCAAATCCCTGTGTTTGTTAAGGGGATTTGTGAATTAAGTTCTCTGAAACTTTACCCGGAAAGTCTTCCCCAGTCCGCTGCTGGGTTTCCGGAAGAGAGAAATCCCCACTGCGGATCTCCCTTTGACTCAGTGATGGATACGGGCGCATATAAATCCTGCTAATGGCTTCTGCCTGTCGCTGACAGATTCTGGTCTTGGGCGAAAGCTGGGTTCTCAAAAGCTGCGTTTTGTTTATTTCCAAAGGGGATTTATTGCATGGCTTCTTCAGGGAGCATCAGCATTCCCCAGGACAGCTGTCAGCACCCTTCACTTACTTGGGTGCTCTGAATGGAGGGTCTAATTCATGCTGTTAGATCTGGCACCCTGAACAGTCCAACACTTAGAAGTTAAAATCATGTTGGGTAAAATCGAAGGGCTCTGTTATGGAAGTTTCCTCTTTTGGAGGGAGAAGGTTCCTTTCTTGACATACTCCACTCTTTGGATACAATACTCTTGGTTTTCCTTTGGGAATTTCCACAACTCAGGGGAATGGAGGGAGTGGACATGGAAATCAACTGATTTAAACCATTGTGTGCCTTATCTCCTAGTCATTTAAATTGGTTCAGGGATGGACACATAATTCAACAGGGTCTAACTAGGCATGGTTAAGAAGTCGGGCTTCTGAGAAGCAGAAGTATTTCCTCTTTTATAGAATTATGATGGTAGATGTGAAGTTGGGAGCTACAACATCTTCCAATTAGGAGACAAGAGGCTAAAGCTCTGACGGCCATGAGGAAAATAAGAATGGAACCAACTGAGAACATTAGAGAGAGAGGTCCTGAAAATATGGCTAGTGTCTGGATCAAGCTATCCTGAAGCCAGGATAACCTGCACTTGCAAATTTTACTAATAAACTTTTTTTTTTAACTTAGGTTAATTTGGGTTGGGCTTGCTGTCGGTTCCAACGGGAAGAATACTAACAGATAGCTAGATTCACTAAGTAGATTTTGATATGTTCATTAAGTCTAATCTAAAGTCCTACCTTCTCCTAGAACACAGAAACACAATATTATAAAGTTCTTGACATTTTAAACAAAGACGCGAGCGGAAGACCTCTAACATTTCATCCCTCCTGTAACCTCAAGCACCTTTGCTTACCTCAGCAATCATCCTCCCTGCCCAGGGGTCTTTGGCCCATTTCTGTTGGTCTGTTTTGCTTCTCTCTGGCTTTTTACTCCCATATAACCATGCTCTAGATACTTGGAGCTCATGAAATGTCTCCCTTTACCCATGTTATGTCTGGTGGCCACCCTCCTTCCAGAGTCACATTTTCTGTACAGTATTCTATACCAACCCTTCCTAATGCCTCAGTTCTGGAGATGGTTGTGTTTAAAAAAAAAAAAGGAGGGGGCGGGGGAGTTAAAGACAAGAGCATTTTGGGAAATACTTCAGGGGGCAGTCTCCTCTCGGATAGGAACAACCAATATGAGAATAGTAAGGGTTCTGGGAATTCTTTCGGGAATGAGCACTACTTCGTTTTATTTACCTAGTTATTTCAATTTGACCATGGTAGCCACCTCCCTCTTCTATTCTGCTTCAGTCACTTAACACTGCACGGCCCTGGGGTGCTGGGGATCCCACACTGGGGAATGAAGCCTTCTATTCACTGTTTCTCATTCCTCGCTTCTCCTTTATTCACTTAGTTATTATAAATTTTTTAAAATAACAAAAGTATAGAGAATAACATAACAAGCATGTTGGTAGCTACCATTGGCTTTGCCAAATCTCCATGGAAAGAATCCAAATCAAATATGGTAACATATTAAGATCTACCAGTATCCCATTAGACAGGAACCATCTTTTAATTCTGTATCCTCTGGATCCTGAACAGTGCCAAGAATATCTGAGATAAAAATTTAATGTTTCTTGAATGATCAATGTTCAGGGCTACCCAGTGGATCATGCTCACCCTTAGAAGAACAGAGGTCATGTTTCTTAAATATCATGCTATCATGACTTCCATATATTTTATCCAGTCACAGCTTTTCTGCTTAAGATGCTGTCTGCATGTTATTCCTCTAAAAGCAACTGAATCAGATAGGACATGTTATGTTTCAAGTAGCAGAAAACCAAATATCAAAAGCTTATGATATCAGGACACTTATTATTTATTGAATAAGAAGTCTGGAGGCGGGAGGTTTCAAGGTTGGGCACCATGGTCCCAGGCTCTTCCTGGCCTTCTGTTCTACCAACATTACTGTAATAGCCTTTTGTCCTCAAACTTGTCATCTCCTGGTTGAAAGTTGGTCGCTAGACCTCCAGCATCAAGTCCTCTCACTGTGTGCCGTGGCAGAGAGCAAGGCTCTTTTGAACAACACAGGCTCTGTCTTTTTACCGGAGAAGAATTCTTCCCAGAAGCCCGCGGCAGTCTATGTCTTCTGTCTCACATGTCAGAACTTGTCCATGTGGCTCCATATGCGCAAGGGAAGCTGAGAAAGCGAGCATCTAGCCAGGAATTAAGAACATCAGGCCTGGCTTAACTCGGCCATGCTGGTTCCCGGGGACTGACAGACAGACCCACTGGCCCTGAAATCAGGAGCCCTCTGCCCCCTAGCTGAACAAAATTTAGATTCTCTTAGTGCAGCTGAAGAACACAGAGCAGGGACAGGGGATTGGCTATGGGGTTAATAACAGAGTGCACCTGCCAGAATAATATTGGTGTGGTTGCCAGGGTACCTGACCTGGCTGTGAAACTGAAAGGTCAGGTTTCTAGACTCAGGTCTAGAAATTGCGTGGCATTTTTTAAGGCAAAAAGCCATTTGTTCATGTGTTTGTTTGACAGTTAGCTAAGACAGGCTGTATCCTCAAAAGCCTCACTGGTGAACAGACAAACATCCACAAACAACGAAGTTCAAGGAGGTAAGTGCGCTAATGAAGATCTGTGGACAGTGCCACGGCCTTCAGAGGAGGCCAGTTTACTGGATGGCAGCACAAAGATTCCAGCCTCCAGCTACACAGGTGTTTCCCACAGCCTGTGTAGGAAGAAGCCCTGGATAGGGAGGCCTCTTGGAGGAAGAAGCATTTGAGCTGGAGGCAATTTGGGAGGAGAGGACAAGGTGAAGAGAAGATCAATCCATGGAGAGCAGACAACATGAGCAGAAGAACCAAAAATTAAAAGTGGAGCATGGGGCAAGTTTGAGATGATGTAAATACCTCATGGTGCAGATCTATCGTGGAGAGAGGGAGGTGGAAAGGGCTGAGGTTATTACAGAGGAAATAGGAGAGGAGGCTGCAAAGCATGGAGGGCTTTTTAAAACCCAACTTTATCCCACAGTCGGCAATAGAGAGTTCATGAAAGTTTTAAAGCATTCAAAGTCACTCTCTCCTCCAGAGGTTAGGGAGGCCAATCCCATTTGTAAATTAAGTAACTACTAAATCACAGCACTCCTGAATTACTACAAACTAGGTTTAATAAACACAAAGAACTTATTATAATGTTAAGAAATACCTGTCTGCTGTGTTTCTAAGTTTTTAAGAAACTATGATAAAATGAATCCCTGCATTCTGTCTTACCATAAAACTGAACAGGTTAGGGATACAGCCTGTAAATCCTACAATTATTTAAAGCACAAAGCGTAGCTTGACTATGTTATCGCTTTTAAATAACACTTCACCAGATTCTGGTCCCAAAACCACTTTGGGGAAAAATGCTTTCCTTAGTGACATCACCCCATTTTCCATATAAAATGAAAAAATAAAGGCTCATATTCAGAAATAGTAGGCTACAAAAAGAAGGAGTGGTGTGCCTTAAGAGCCTGCCATGGAACTCCCAACTGCCCTGGAGAGAAACAAAGAAATAAATTAAAAATATAAAACCCCCCAAATACACATAGTTGCGCTTAAAAGGGGTGGGCTGGTTTCTCCCAAATCCATTAATAATATAAATCACTATATTTCATATTCACAGGCATCGCTGAAAGTTCTCCTCTTAATTGCTCCATGGCATCATGTTTTATTTTAGAAAAGTTCAGATTTTATTGCCAGGGACTAATGGGCATAGAGTCCCTGAAGAACTTGTTTTAAAACATCGACCAGTCAACCATAAAAGGGATATTAAAATGGCTACAGAGGCTAAATAAGAATTAAAAAGTATAGCCACTTATTTTTAAATTAGAATCCTCTTTCACATTTAGGGATATAATAAAATGTGTCATAAACTTTCTACTCTCATTCCAAAGTATTGTTGTAAGAATCGACAATAATACAGACACAATCCTATGGTTAAGCTGCACCCATTAAAGTCAAGGGCTCTTTTTAAGCATTATTGAAGGCATTTTAAAATTATAAATGATTACAATGTCATAAAAACATTCCAGGGATAGAAATGGAAAAGGAGAAATAGGAAGGATCTAATGAACAAGGCTGTTAATAAACTTATACCATCAATGGGTCAAGTCCTGGTACAGATGTAGATTTTAGTCAAATGGGAGTCTATAAACTGTGTTCAGATGAGATTGTATGGATCACTGCCGAGTCATTTTATGTCCCCGATAGTGGGGGAGACTCCAGCTTGAACCTTTTCCAAGACCACAGAATATCATCCATTTTACTAATATACAATGCTCCTTACAGAGGCTTGGTACCAATGACCAGTGAAGTAACCCCATTTTCCAAGTGGGAAACCAGCAGTGGGGGATGGGAGAAATGTCCTCAAGTTCAACCTGTGGGGCATATAGATCTCAGGACTCTCACAATGGCTGACAATCCTTCCCTTCATCTGGTGGCCCAGAGGAGGGTGGCTGTTGTTCACCCAAGAGAAGACACCCTCTCTGATAAGCTGTGCAGGGCCCAGTCACATCCGGAACGTGAAAGTGGCTTTTCAGCTTCCTCTTAAAATGGGGCACCAGGCACAAAGAGAATGAAGATGGCTTTTCCCGACAGAAGCACTCACTGGCCAAATAGGACAGACACAGGATGTTCAGCAGAAAGGAACCACCTTTCAGTAAACACAATCTCTGAAAGACCCGAAACAGAGATCTCGGCAGAAATCCAGGTAGGTGCCTAAAGAACCCCCCCGCCCCCACAAACAAACAAACAAAAAAGCAGCGGTCAGCTCAGGAGCAGGACTGCAGAGAGGGCCATGTGCCACTTGATTTCCAATTCTGCAGCACCTTCTGCTCCTCTAAACAGCTTAAATAAAAGCATCTTGAACTGGTTTAGATTCGTCCCCACCAGGCACATTTGTAAAGATAAAAAGAACATGGTTGTTTTCCTTCCTCCGAAAGGGGGCTGGGAAGAGGGGACAGGAGTGGCCTTACAGGGGACAGAAAACAAGAAGAATCAGGCGAGGTCTTTTGCCCACATATGACACCACTGCGCCAGGTTGCTTGAAACTTCCGATGCTCAACGTTGTCCTTCTTTTAATCCTTACTGGTCACAGAGACAGCGGGGCAGGCAGCAGGGGCTGGGTGGAGGTGGAAAGAAGTGTGGTTTCTTCCCCATCCTGCAGTTCCTGGCAGCAGCTGGCCTGTGTAAACATTCAGTAGCCCATCTGAACCTTATTTTAGAACAAAACAATTTCAGTTTTAAAGTGTTTGAATTGCTTTAGCTAAATCTGAGGATTTGCCTATTGAATCTGGAGCTGCTCCCTTTCAACTCTGAATGAAGGAAGAATTATGAGACTGGAGCTATTCAATGAGAGCTATCTGTCCTGGCACTCAATCAAAGGGATTAGGATTTGGAAAGAAAAGCCTACAGGTGATCCTCCAGGAAGCATACCAAGCAGTTATCAAAAACATACAAGTTCAAAGCAGCTCAATTTTCATATGTTAAATGTACTTGGATGCAGCCCCAGGCTCCTTTCTAGGTAAAAAATTGTGTTAAAGCTGTTTGTACTTGCATACTTAGCAGACAAGGGAATAAAAAAAGCACGTGGTGCAGTGGTGCCGGGTCCACTTCACCCCCGTGTAACACAATAAATCAGTCTTGTTCTCTTGGTGCAACAGATCTGATCCCTTGTCCCTGGCATCTCCCACATCATGGCGGATGCTCAGTCACCTCATCTGTGCGAAAGAGCTGCCACACCACCATGCCGCCAGGTCAGACACTGGCATCAGCAGCCTGACAATCAACAGCACGGGCCAATCAGGAACCTTGGGTGTTGTTTTCCCAAGCACTGTGATCTGGGCTTAAGAGTGTATTATTTACTTAATACCTGAACCTGGACACATTGAAAAGAGGAAAGTAAGAACACACACTGAGATCTGGGTTAAAGGAGAGGGTACATTTTGGGTGGCCTTCATGTAGCAGCAAGTCAACAAGAAATATACTTTTATTGCCATGGAAATTCTACAGGACACACACAAAAGGGTCTAACTCCCTTTGGTGTGCCCAAGAGGCCTCTGGAGAAATAATGTCTATTTTTATAGGAAGAAAGTAAAGCGAGAAGATGAAAACCTGCCCTGCATTTAGTTATTAGAAATGTTCACAAACCATGTAATAGTATGCCAGATCCATAATATATGTTTAATAAATGGCCACAGGAGGAGAGAGAAGAAGCCAGCCTCTACCACATCCCACCTCTATGGGAGGAAGTCAAAGTGCCCACAAGACGCAGCCTGGCATTGACTGATGGGAGGGCAGTGAGGTACCTAAAACCAAGCAGGACAGAGACTTCTCCAGGATGCAGGCGTCTGGGTCTCCACTCACCCCTGCAAGCCCTCACTGCTGAAGAGCTTTGGGAAGTGACGCTTCTGCCCAAACTTTCATAGTCTCATCTGTGAGGCAGAGATAAAAGGCTCCTCTCCCAAAGCAAGAGGCTACTAACTTACTGAATGTATGCTGTATGGCACTGTGTTATGGACTCTACAGGTATTGATTTATCTCCAGCAATACTGCGAATCAGTATTAAAATGATTCTATTTTATAGATGAGGAGTCTGGGGTCTAAACAAGTGATTTGCTGAAAGTCACTGTATCACATAAGCGGTAGAGCACAGATTCTGACCCAGGACTGTCTGAATACAGGGTCCATGTTCTTACCTTCTACCTGATAATATCCCTAACCAGGAGGAGTTTTCTGAACCTGAGTTGCGTGTTATGATTATACTATTACACTACTGAGCTAGAGACCCCACACCCCCTCCCCGCTCCCTACTGTTAATCAATCGCCAGATACCATCCCCACCTGTGCAATGACCTTCTTCTTCCTGCTTTGTGTTCCCTCTGCCAGGGCCCAGGTGAAGGCTTTCACCATCTTCTGCCTTAACTACCGCAACCTGCCAGCTTGCACTTCCTTTCTCCACACCCCTCTCATTCTATTCCCAAAGGTGGAAGCGCCTCCTTTGCTTATCACAAGCCTATACTTTCTTTGATGCCCAGGTCAAATGAAGCTTCCCATCTCCTCTGTGTCCTCAGTGCATATCAGTGAATCTCTATTCAGCGTGCATGTCACCCTCCTTGACATTCTATGTATCCACACTCCCTCCCACCCCTCCCCAGCTAAGTACCTTGAACACCAGACCTTATTTCTTTTGATCTCTGTGGCACTTAGGGTTTTCTAAAACTGGTTTCCTGAACTGGTAAAAAGGGAGGACACGAGGAGAGGAAAGAGGTCACTGATGTTTGATGCAGACGACAAAACCAATAATAACAAAGAAATAATAACAACAACCCTAGTATGTTATGAGGTATGGCAAAAGATAGTGGGTCAAAATCGAGGCCTTGGTGTCAGTTGCCAAGGTTACCATGCTAGCTTACTAGTTATATTACGTTGAGAAAGATTCTTAATCTCTCTGGTCTTCAATTAATTCATGAATAAAACAGGGGACAACAGTGGTACTTATGCCCCATGCATTTGCTGTAAAGGATTTCAAAAGATAGTAATGAAACACAATAGTAGCTGGCACACACAAAGCGCTAAATACGTACGTGGCAGATATACTGTTGCATTGGGTAAGTTGTTTCCTTTTCTTGTCATCTAAAATTCCAACTTCTTGCAACTGGTATGAAAGAGAAGTAAACACTATAGTCCACGCTCCCTCTTTCAGAATCAGAGGGGAAGAAACCCCCCAAAAGCTGGATGTTGTGAGCCCTCCTTAACATTTTCTCCCTAGCTGAGTTGGAGGCCCCAGTGTATCAGATCAATGCCATAAAGCTGGCTCCTCTTGGCTTGCCTTGTTTTGGCACTGAACAAGCAATTCGAAAGTACATTAAGTTATTTAACAGGTCACCAAGTAGCAGAAAGCTAAAAGTTTAACCATATTTACAAGGAAGAATTATATGAAAATATTTTTATTGATGCTATAAAAACCACCATTAAAAATGACTGCATTGAAAAGCTGAACACGTATGAAACAAATGGGCGACTCTTAAAATGTTACCTGGTTCCAGACAGTCCAAATTTTGTGTCTCGTTAGCAAATAAGATAAATGACTTTGTCTGAGATGATGTTTTATAAATCCTATTAACGGGCTATAAGGGAAGCAATGGTTCCCTAAATGGGAGAATTAATTTTCTGAGTTCAATCCCCCGTTGTACACCCAAAATGAGGGGGTGTCTGGGAGGCTCACTGTTCACACTGTTTTCAGACTAACATGCTAACACTACTCTCTACAGATCACAGTTCATGCCTTTCATAGTAAGAGTACATTCCTTATCTCCCTCATGGAAGCCTATGGGTCAAGCTGGGAAATAAAACTCTTGGGTGTTTTTTGTTTTGTTTTGCTATGTTTTAAATAACAGAGAAGGGCACAGTTAACTGATGTTAACTTAACATCAGTTAAAAGCAGAGCTAAGTCAGAATCGTGGCTGGCCCTTGATTTCTTCTACCCTGTGGAGTTTTAAGAGCCAGTGTTGACCACGAGGAGGTGGGATACCCCTGTGTGGACAAACCCACAGGATGGCGGAAGCTCCACTGTCATTTTAAACACTGTATCCCGATGAATTCCAAAGCACTGGTTTGTTTTCTTTAATTTTTTCTTTAAACTTCTGAAACACAGAAGTGATGTATCCTTACCACCATATAAATAAGGGCATAGGGCTTGGTATATAATGTTTTGGCTTTTTTTTTTTTTTTCAGAGCAAGACGTACTCCAGTGATTGGTACAATTTTGTTTTTGCCTTTTCTTGCCAAAAAGAAAATATGGCTTTAATAGAAGTTTACATCTGCGTGGTATTACATGCATGTAAAACAGATGTAACCTAATTACATTTTCATTTAAATTGCTAAATAGCTACTTAAGTAAAAAGCTAAAATAACATACAAACAACAGTTACTATAATAACAAGTGTACTTAGAATTAAATGAAAAGGATCAAAGCTACAGCAGACAGAATTTGAGTTGGTCTTTCAAAAAGACAGAGTGACATAACAACGCAGCCTTCATTTACTCAGTAATTTAATGTCTCTACAGCTCAGTCTAGAGACACAGCTCAGCTCAGCCTAGACACATGGAAGAAAATCCATAAAGTTTATATAAAGACTCTGGGTTTCATGAAGATCAGACACACTCTACCAGAGATTATATAGCAAAACCCTAAATTGGAAATTAGAATTCCAGGGCAATACAATCAGCTTGATTATAGTTTTAAGCAGACCTGTCTAGGCTGAAATCAGAAATCAGCTCCCAACTCTGAGATCAGAGCACCCTTTTTATATTTTTAGCAGAAGGCAACACTGCATGTCAGTAATTGCATATTCATGACCCATCCCTTCCTGTGTGCCACACAAAGGCTCATCAGAGGGATCCAGAGCATTGGGGATGATATTCAGGGTTGGTGCACAGTGAAGGGGACACATGGCTTGTCCTCAGAGGAAAAGGGGAAACCTTAGGTTGCCAGTCAGATGGCTAAAAAGGAAGATGAAATCCTAAACAGCGTGCTCTGGACACACTTGAACCTGTTTAACCGGGACTTGCTAGGTAATATCTTAGCTTTTTCTTTTCTTTCTTTTTTTTTTTTTGGTGGGGGTGCTAGGGATGAACTCAGGGGCGCTTGACCACTAAGCCACACCCCCAGCCGTATTCTGTATTTTATTTAGAGACAGGGTCTCAATGAGTTGCTTAGTGCCTCGCTTTTGCTGAGGCTGGCTTTGAACTCGCAATCCTCCTGCTTCAGCCTCCTGAGCACCTAGGATTTTCCTTTTCTATTTTAATCACATTTTTAACTAAAGTGAATTTCAGGCATTTGCTGGTAGTGGTTTTGTTTTAAACGCAATGAGAAGAAAACCAAGCTCTGGAGTCTAAACTTATTTCAAAATCAGAATAGTCTACCACTAAACACGAAGGATTCAGACTAGGAATACATAATGGAAATACTCCCCCACATGCTTTATTCTCTAAACTAGACAAGCCAGTTTTTCCAAAGTTTGTGCAGGAGTGTAGAAAATAAAGAACTTAAATCCAGTCAGTCATTGTTTTATCATGGGCCTGAAATTAAGAATTAAAAAAAAAAAAATTAAAATCTCTATCTCTGCTAAAACTGAGGGTTATATTCTTTAGGCTGAGAAATTCCTTATCAAAGAACTAGCCAATTTCTTTCCCCATCCCCCAGTTTCTAAATATAATTATTTTTCATTTTTTCTATATTTTTATTAGTGCATTAAAATTGCACATAATGATGGGATTCATAGTTAAATGTTCATACATGTATACAACATAATATGACCAATTTGTTCACCAATATTTTCCCTTTCTACCCCCACCCCCCAAGGTGGCCAATTTCTTTTTTGAAATTAGCATCATATTACACCCCAATATGTGTGCTGATTAAAAATTTTTATTAGCTTCTAGTTTCCCTTCTCATGTTATGTCCTCTCTCTAGAGGTGGGAACAAATGAAAAGACTTAAGAGCTAGAGGTGAAGAACTGAAAGTTGATTTGGAAAATCCGAAAAATCACCTGAGGCCTACACAAGATGTCAACTTGGCATTTATTTGCAGGAGGCCACCTCACACAGTATTTTAATGGAGGAGGGACCTAGAGGGAGGCAATATGCATGCTGCCTTCCAGTGACTCTTCCTTCATTAACACATGGTGCTCAAATCTTAGCAAAGACTTAGCTGGAAACTTAAGACTTAAAAGACCAATGCATGGAAAGTTTAGGGGTTGATTTTTCTTCTTCACAGCTCGCTGTCCTACCTCAAACCTGTGGTGATTTCCTATTTGAGGAACCTACAAATCCCCTGGCTCTGCATCCACAGTGAGGTTTATCTGTGAAGAGAAGGGAAAACTACTCCAAGAACCTTCTGTCCCACAGCTATCCCCAGCCTGAGGGCCTTGGCTTGGCCTCTTCAAACTGGCTGCAGTTGGTTTTCAGCAGAGCGTTCCTGAAGTTTCACAATGTGTTGAGAACAAGTTTGTAAAAGACAAGTGAAGGCTTGTCATGATTTTGTAACCAATTATTTCATTTGTATTTTATAAATGGGTCATAAATGTCATTGACTAATTGCTACCTTTCTCCTTCCCTTTAACCCCTCCCTAGACATACTGAGCAAACAGGCAAACCTTGTACCAACTCTTGCCAGAGGCCAGGAATTAATGGACGGTTTTAAACTAAACTTTACCTATTTGGAAGGACATCAATGGCAGCTGAGGACACACTTTAATTTCTCTACTCCCCACAGCTCTTCTCTGTGCCTCCCAAACAAGCTCACTTCCAACAGGACATGCTCTGCTCAAGAAACTCAGATACTAGGAGAAAAGGTGACAGCTAGACAACCCAAAACAAGCCAAGCCGATACTAAATTAATCACATTATAATACCACTGACTTTGTCAAGGTCTTTCCTTGTCTACCCGATCATTATGAAACCAGTCATTACTCAAAATTACAATTAAAGTGATGATTTCTCTGTTTGACCACGGAACAAACACTCTTTTCTGTTGATGCTTAGGAGCTCAGGGAGAGGAAACAGGAATATAGTCTGTCTCAGAATGCACTTTAAAGAATCATCACATTCCAAAGGCTGATTGACAGGGCTGGGGGTGGGGGCCGAGGAAGGGAGAAACTACTCACTTTGTGATGGGTTGAGTGTCAGTAAGAGAAGCAGCTGAGGTCGGCTCTGCCCTATAAACTTTTCTGAAATGCCACTCCCTTAAAAGTCGGCCTTGACAAAAGCTCTATCACTGGGAAGAAATGATATGAATGAGACAAGCTGCCCTCAATCTCAGAGTGACTGCATTCTCCACAGTAGCAGGGCTTTAAGCCACAGTAAAGTAATTGTTCCGAAGGTACCAGGCTGCAAAACACCTCCTTTGGAGAAAGGGAAGGGACTGCCATCAGCACCTAACTCTACCTTTTCTGAATGCTAACATCACAACGTGTGGCTTGTAGGCCAGATCTGGTTCTCAAATATCTTGCCAAAATGTTCACATATGTACCTTTCATACAAAAATCTAGACTTCTGGCTTCTTTGTGGGGAATAAATCTGAGCCATCCACAACAGAGGGTCCACATTCCATCATGGCAACATTGACTGGAGCAGAGGCCCGGCTGTCCCCTTTAGACTGGGGTGTGCTTTGGAGTTCTCTATGGTCCCTACTCCCTATTGTACCACACCTGGCCTGCTTAGGCCACTGTCATTGCTGCTGGTTCCTGCAAGGGTCTGAGTGTACCACTGCTGGGGAAAATGTGTGTGAGATTACTAACCATCCAACCAATAATTATTTTCCCCACTTTAAAGGTAGAGAGAAAAGGGTTTCAGAAACTCTAAGTCCTCTGTTATTCCTACCGTCACCAAAATTCCACTCCACTGAGAAAGTCGGTATTTGAGTTTCAAAACAATGTATGCCACTCAGCCTTACTCTTGCCTGAAGACATCCTGGGCCCCAGTGCACTCAGACTGGCTGACCATCAGGTCAGCATCTCCTCTAAAAATTATCCAATACCCTAAGGGTCTGTTGCATGTTTTAAAGGCAAACTATGAAAATGAACTCTGCTATTCTCTGAAGAGAAAATGGATCCTAGTCTTATTTATTCTTATTTATTACTCCAAAATTAAGTTTGCTAAAAAGTTGAACTATCCGACATACATTTTCAGCTTGACTCTTTTATACAATCATGGAGAAAAACCATCATTCCTCATGATGTATTTTTTTTTTTTTTATAATGAGGACCATAAAAGCACAGGGAAATCTCAGGATCTTTGGAAATAAAAATGAATGTACATATTTTGCACTAGCTAGCAGTAATTACTTTACCATGTGAGGCTCGGGGTAGGTAGTAATGTGCAATATCTTTAAACTTGGAGCCATCCCAAAAAACAAACAGAAAAAAACCTGACCCCTGACCCTGTTCTGAAGCATCACTCCCCGCTTGGGTAGTGTTTGCATGCTGAAATATTTATTTCCTTCATAAAAAAATCTATCTGAATATCCAATCTCTCAGCAGTAAAGAGTCTTATTTCCATGTTAGCAGAAGCCCTTAAGTAATTTGGGGCTATGATCTTAACACTACAAGCTTTACCCACTTAAAACTTTGCCAGCTTGGAGCTGCATATTTTCCTCACCAGCTCCTCATTTGCAAAACACAGCAGAGATTCAGGTGAAAGGTGAGGAAGTTTCAACAGCTGCAGAGCCCAGTTAGGAAACTAAGTTTCTTGGGCATAGCTTCCAAGAGAGCAATATTTCTGAGCTTTCTGTCACTGGAAAAAGATGGATTTGTACCAGTGGGGATGAGCAGGTTCTAGCAAGCAGGTATGATAATGGAAACCACTGGACCTGGCATGGGAGAGGGTGAAGCCTCTCTGAACCCTAAAGATTGACTATTTCCTAGCAACATCTCTGACTGTAACTAGAGCACACGACTATCATAAAGCTGACTATCATAAAGCTTTTCGTCATCTATTTGCTGGTTATGCTATGTGAACAAGAAAGTCTGATAAAAATTACTTGGTATTTAATTTACACCATGAAGAAGAAGAATCTAAATCTCATAAAGTGCTTCACACTACATCAAACTCACAAACTTGAGCAGACAAAAGAAGAGGTGTACTGCCCTGTCATCCAGATGAGAGCCTTATCTATAGTTAAGGCTGAGAAAACCCAACGCCTCCTCCATAATGCTTTCTAATAACAGAGGGGTGAGGTGAGTCATTGCTGAATTTTTCTCAGAGGTCTTGGATCAAGATATTGAAATAAGCTCAGAATGGCTCTTAAAAAGCAGAAGGCTTCAGGCTTCCCTTCATGCCTACTGACATTACTTAGAGGGTAAATGGCTTCCTGTGGTGCTATGATTTAGGAGATCACTGGGGAATATGGACCTCTTCTTTCAGATGCCATTAGAAATTTACCTCCAGATTTAATCATAGTTTGCTAGACCTAAAGCACTATAGAGGAACTCACACTAGCTCTGTGAGGTGAACTGACTATACTTTGTTTAGACTTACGAATGTGTGAGAATTTTTAAAAAACTAAAATTCCAAGCTGTATCAGGAAGTGGTTTTTGCATCTAATCCTCTATCAGTTATGGTTTCTTTCAGGCTGGGGAGAAACATCATGGCAACAACAACAAAGAAATAAAATGGTTGTAAACTGAGCTACTTAAGTATGGAAATCTCTCTGCTTAAGAACATTCAAGTTAGAATTATTGATTAGAACAAATTTAAATACTAGAGCAAAAGTATGCCCCCAACAGACTATACTGCAAGTGGCTCCTTAATGCCACCTTTGCTTTGCAAACAAAAGGTTTTATGATGCACCTTGAGAGGGAGGCACTTCTATTAGTTGTACATGTTGTGAATCAGGGCTTGGCCTTGCCTTCTCAGCCCATCTGGGTAAAGGAGAAAGAGGTCCTCCCATATGGGTAAATAAGGCCTCCCAGGTTCCAAGAGGGGAGTGTGCACTGGACTTCAGCCCCTCACACCTATCATGTCAACCCCCCCAGGTATAACCTAATTACTAGCACTGAATATGAAAAAATGTACAAGGCAAGTCTCCCTCCAGCCACCCTGGTTTTTAGGTAGCAAGATTCTGTCAATCTCCCTTGAAAGCAGAGACTAGTTTCTATTTTTCACAATTGTTTGGTAAAATGAACCCAACAGCACCAATGTAGAAAAATGTGGAATACACCAAGGGATTTGACAGCCCGAAATAATTAGGAGACCTATTAGAAGAGAGAAGTCCGGTGGTTTCCCTTTGTGACAAACCAGTTCTTCTTGATTTAAGGGTGGGACTGGTTCTAACTTCCTCACAGGGACACCCACAGAGCTGAGATCTGTAAGCCTGGTTCTCTAGGGGCATGAGGAGCCCTGAGTGTGCAACTGGCAAGCCTTGTAAGTAGAGAAGCCAGGTTTTAAGATCTAGAGATCAGACTTAAGGATCCTTATCACCATATTTAGGCTTAAGGATTCCTGTGGAAGCAAAAAGCTCCTGAGGAAAGGGCAGGCTGGTGACTTCCCAGGGGGTGGCTGAGCATCCAAACAGCTTCGAAAATCATCCTCAGAGTTGGCCGGGAGGATAACAATTCTTAATTATAAATTATGGATTGTGATTTAGGAAAACAGAGTCAGTGAAAGTAAAGTCGTGCCAGGTGGACAGACACTTTCATTCTCTTGTTGACCTCAAAATTGAGACTTGCCCCACAAGGATCCACATACCTGTAAATTACGTAGCAACAACTTGCTAGTGAGCTCAAAGCCACCGCAGCTATTAACAAGTAACACACAAGCCAAAAAAAGACAAAAAAATTGGGGAGGGGTGACAACGAGGAGAAGATAAGAAATTTACACACACACAGCCATCCACATGAGAAACGTTCAAACTCAATAAAGAAAGAAGTGAGATGTTACTCTTTGTCCATCAAACTGGAGAATCTGTTTAAAGACAATATTCCATACTGCCCAACGTGAGAAGGGAGAGGCATTCTGAAAAACTACTGAGGAAATTATAAATTGGTACATCTTTCCAAAAATCAAATTAGCAAGGTTTTATTTAACACATATTTGTCAAGTCCCAACAATCTGTTTGTAACTTAGAATGTATATTCTCTAACACCTAGTGATCCCCAAGAAAATGTCAAAGATTCTTATTAAAAGATGTCTACAATAATATTTAAAAGTAAAAATTAAAGAGATATACTAAAAATAAATTGTACACTTTGATGGAAATTATCTTTGAATGATGAGTAGTAAATGAGAAAATTATGATATATTCTGTGAAAAGAGTACAAATTTTTAATACAGAAATATTTCTAATTATACACCAATGTTAATAGTCTGGGTACTAGGATTTGGGTTAATTATATGTGCTATCTATAATTTTCTAGAATGAGCATTTATTAATTTTAGATATAGGAAAAAAAAAAAAAACCTGAGCAATGAAAGAGGAATTAGCTAAAGAGCAGACATATTTAGAATCTCAAAAACATGTAACTAGCCGGGCATGGTGGCACATGCCTGTAATCCCAGAGGGTCAGGAGGCTGAGACAGGAGGTTGTGAGT